GTTTCTTGGTAGAGCTAGGTCTATGGGTAGTTCCAGGTTTCTTGGTAGAGCTAGGTCTATGGGTAGTTCCAGGTTTCTTGATAGAGCTAGGTCTATGGGTAGTTACAGGTTTCTTGGTAGAGCTAGGCCTATGGGTGGTGACAAGTCTATTTGGGGCGACAGTAGGAGGACGTTGTACACCTCCAGTAGGAGGAGGAGGACGTTTAGTACCTCCAGTAGGAGGAAGAGGACGTTGTACACCTCCAGTAGGAGGAGGAGGACGTTTAGAACTTTGTGCAGAGGTGGCGAGGACGTTTGCTAATAATAGCAAAAGAGCCACTGACAATGATTTAAACCTCATTTTCGAAAGATTCGTAAAGAGGAGAAACGGAATTAATGATAGTATGGGAGCTTGAAAGGTTTACGAATTGAGGACAGGAGAAAATGAAAAGTGGAATTTGAAGGTTTTTATAATTAAAATTTTGACATATTTGTAGTCTATAATATATACAATAGATATTACAAAAGAGATGAATTGATAAATGTGTAATTTTTAAGATAACATTATTTATATTACTGTTTTTTTCTTAATCATAAAAAATTATGAACGCGTGTGAGCACACATTTTTTACAAGGACAATAATCTAGGATCGATATAGGAAATAATTTGGCACAAATTATTTATGTTTATGTATGTTTCGCATAATCCAATAGTGTAACATTAAATAAACTATAATATTTTAAGGATTTAAAGAAGGAACAATTCAATCTATATGTTTCACAAAGAATTTAGGACCTGTTGCCTTCGTCAAAACTGTAACATTTGGACATTCAATTTATATTATTTATTAAATTTCTTAAAGGAATATCTGGTGCAGCTTAGTTGTGATAGTTGTGATAGTTGTTATAGTTACTTCATGTGTGAAGTACAGTACGTGAAAGTTGTAAAATGTAGTTGAAATATGAAGTTGTTGCATATACATTAATAATATGCGAAAAAATGACCGATCAGAATTTTATGCATGACAGATTATGCTTAAACATAATAGAATTACATATAATATTTTTTTAGAATTGAGAAATATTTGGTTATGAAAAAAAAATCAGCGAATTAATTAAATAATTTATTAAGAAGTTTATTTTATTGCATTATTTGCTTACGTGTTAACACATTAATGTTGAGTATTAATATAAAGAACTATTCAGATAAACTGAACAATGATACAAGTAGTTAATGTGAAATTAATTTAAATAATGTAATAGATAGTGTACAATACGTTAAAGCGAATGGTTTGTTTGTACATTATATAAGAATGATGTGGTAAATCAAAGGATAAAGATCTAAAATGCATAAAGCTTTCAATGATCCGTGTTCTAAGAGCTTTTTGACCATATAAGTGGCCTGCTGACCTGCGTATGAATGTGCGTTGCTCTCTTAAGCAGTTGTAACACTAGCATTATTATGCGACAAATATTTATTATTCATTTAAAGGATTTTTGTATTTACAGTATAAAACCATAAAGAACTTGATTTACGTTATAAAAAAGAACATCAAATGGAAGTGGCTTAACTATAAATTGAATTTAAACTTATTAAAAATGAAAATTTATTTCTGAACTATAAAAGTTCTACCCATTCATTGCTTCTTATTACTTACTACTC